CTGATGTTGCAAACGCAATCAGCCATATAAACTGCGACTAGAGTTAACAAACTGAGGCGAGGAGGCGTTCAAGCGTGAAATACTTATGTATATATGCATATATATTATATATATATATATATATATATATATATATATATATATATATATTTTGTGTGTGTATGTGTGCTTTATATATATGGTTTATTGACTGTCGTTACTTAAGATTGACCTGTGAACTTGCGGTCTATGAGCTGGCTTAAATTGTTTGCCTAAATGTAGACAAATGTTAACACACTAAGATATACATACATATAGACAAAGCTCTACGCAAGTCTCTGTCTATCCAAATAGTAAACAAAATTAATTTCAGATTAAATTTAAAATATAAATAGATTTTAAAAATATAAAAAAGCAATCAATAAACATGAAAATAAATTAAAACATAAATTCAATAAATTTAAAATATATAGACAATAAATGTTGACTAAATAAAAGAAATATATATATGAATTATATATATATATATATATTATACAGTAAATAAATAAAAATAAATAAAAATAATGAATAAATAAAAATCAAAATAAATTAAATCACCACACATAAGCCAAAATATATACATAATAAAAAAATAAATATTCATATGATAAAAATAAATTAAAAGTAACATAAATTAAGACACAAATAAACAAATATATATGAACAATTATACTAAGATAAAAATACTACAAATATAAATAAATGTAAATTAAAACACAGATTAATTATTATACAGAAAAAATTATACTCTAGTTTGCATATATTATAAGCGTATGAGCCTATAAAAATAGTACAAAATAATTAAAATAAATTTAAAATTAATTTAAAACCGAGATAAAAATAGATAAATAAATCAAACAAACAATTTACATTTTCCCCTGGCGCTGCTGAAGCTGCTGCAGCGTGTTATTGCTCATACGCCGCTTGGTCACTCGCCTTGGCCGAGCGTCTGCTGTTGTTGCTCTGGGACGGCTTTCGAAATAGATTTAAGTGCGCGGAAAATGTGCGGGCTGTGGAAAAACTTGCTGCTTGATACACATGAAGCAGCCGTAGCAGAAAAACAAAACTGGTTACGCCTGGCCAACGCCACGCGGCAAGTTGGCCTTGTGCTAATCCACATTTTAGAATCCCAACAGCAGCAGCAGCAGCAGCAGCAATCGCGACCGCTGTAAACTCTACGTGTGCGAATTCTCCAATGAAATCATGAGCACAAAACCATTTGGCTCACAGAACGTGGTTGGCGGCTCAATCGCAACGATCGCAGCGATCGGCATCAACTTGACTTTGAGTTTCGTTATTTTGGTGCCGTAATTGCAATTGCAGTTCTTGTGCAAGATCAATGTGCTAGCAGTCAAATTAAGACAAATTAAAGCGACTATTTAATTGACGCCAATGACATTCAACAATGATGTAGGCTTAAGTGTGTAAACATCCTTAGTGGATATGCCAAATTAATCAAGTTGTTTGGTTTTCTCTTCTAACGACTCTTGCAGATAATTATCACAGCCATGGACCGTTTCGTATGGTTTGTGCTGCTGGTGGTCATGACGCACCTGGTCACGGAATTCACACGTGTCACCGGCTATGCGAGAGGACAGCGACAGGAGCTGGTGCTAATCAACGATGTAAGTAAGAGAACTCCATTAAATAAGACCCCAAAGACTCCTAGTATAAGTGCAATTTTTCGTTGCATACTTTCGAGCGCAGCGTAAAATATATTGAGAGATGCTTGAGAGAGTTGAGTTGAGAACGATAAGAGTGTAACCTTGACTTATATAATGTGCTCTTTACACTTATCGAAGCAGAAATTGACTTATTAAGACTTTAGTCATGTATAAATCAGTAATATAAAAAATACTCATATATGATTACATTGAAGACTTTTATAAACTTGATTTATGAATAAACACTTCATAAATTTACAACTAAAATGCACTTAAGCTCATTGTATATCAATTTTTATATAAAACAATGCCCATTAATTCAATCGGAAATGTAATTAATAGTATTTGCTATTCATTTATATTAATAGATTATCTAGAATATCAAAACTATTTTAAATACATATATAAATATATACATATATTTTTAATAGAAATTCGCCAAATGCAGCTTTCATGATTGTATTAATGTGTTAATTGATGCCAATTTCAGACACTGCTGAAGCCGATGCCCGTGCAGAATATGCTGCTGTATCCGAGCTACGATTACGCGCACTATGACAGGCCTCAGTCCGTCGTGGGGGGCGGCAACAGCATACAGCAGAATGCCGCGATGGTGTTTGGTGGTCTGGGCGGCAGCGGTGGGGCGGCGAACGGTGCCATTGTTGCGGGCAGCAGTGCAGCTGAATCGAGCTTTCCGTTCTTCAGTCTACGGCCGTTAATTGACAGCATTTTCGACGTAAGCTAAGTGCTTGATGCAAATCCAACTCGTTGGCTAATCAGCTATTTACCGTTCCCTGCAGATACCCATATCCACTTTGCGAGCCGTCAACACCCTGGTGGGCCGCCTCACGGGCAGCTATCGCCAGGCATCGGAGGGTGTGGAGAAGTCGGTAACCATCAGAGCAGACGAGCCACTCCGGCTGCCAGCGGGTCATCCGCCAGCGATGCCCGGCAATTTTCGGCTATCCACCACGGGCAACGCTGAGCGTCAACAAATGCGCGAGGAGCTGGCGTAGTGGCAGAGCCGAGCACAGTACTTGACATTTACCTTTACTTTTACGTCTACGTTCACGTTTACGTTTACATTTATTCGTAATTAGTTCGTAATTCAACTTTGACCTTAGACCAAACAAAGGGCAAGGCGCACACGTTTCTCAATGTTGTGTTTAATGGGCATTTCTATGTGTTAAGTGTATTAGTGTGAGTGTCTTTACTTATGCATGTGTATGTGTGAATGTATGTGTTTCTCTTTTAATGCTTAGCTTTTAGATGTTTTCGTTGTGATATATGTAAAATTGTTGTAAGTCTAATTTAATTGTATTTATAAAAAAAAAAAAGAAAAAACATTAAAAAAAATATGTGTAAACAAAAATTAATGTATTTTGATGTAATGTATTTCTCATGCAGTTTCAAAGTGGGCTTAAATACGTGTTGTAACTGCATAGTATTTTTGAAAATAAAATAATGTTTCATGCCTGAAATGCTTGATATTTTACTTAAGCTAAGTATGTGTAAAGTTTAAAGACTTTTCACTCAATAAATTCACCTATTAAACATTAAAGTTTTATGAAAACCTTGAGAGCTTAATTCAAACTTCAGATAAGTAAAATTATATAGATATTTTGTTATAATTATATACCTTTATAAACAAATATTTATATATATTTTCACAAAAGCCTTGTCTAATAATTCAATGGAAAATGTTGCCCATTATTTTGCATGGGTATTTTCATGGGGCCGCCTAAATGTATGCAACGCTTTTTGTTATTATAATTAATTCATGCAAAATGTCGGGCGAAAGAGCGTAGCATACTTTTGCGCGTCGCATAAAAATGTCAACAGCTTTTACACTGAAGAAAACAAGAAGAAAAGAACACGAAATGGCCGCAGCAAGAATGTCAACAGCCTGCGGCTGCCCATATCAGCGGGGCGTCTGTCAGTCATCAAGAAATCAATGTTTAAACATTTCCGAGAAGCCAATTCACTATAACACCTAAAAGATTAAAGGCGTTGTCGCAATATATATATATATATATATATATGTATATAGGAAATTCATTGAATATATTTTTGATGAGCTTTCATGTACGAAAATATTATATATTTTTTGACATATACGTATTTTATTTTTTGACAAATTCTAAAGACAAATCAGGTGAACAAAATGTGAAGAAGTCACTAGGCAAATGTTGATATAACTTTTCCATTAACAATATTTGTTTAAGCTTGTTTATCGATCCAATTAAAAACAAATCAGATATTAGTTAGTTAATATATAAGTAAATTTGTATTCAAAGCTTATACTTGCCGCGCTGTGAATCAATTAAGCAAACGCGTTTCACAAATTTTCCAATGCCAGAGACTAATGATTGGAATTACTCAGGGGTTGCTTTGGGCAAATAACTTGAATTAATATTGAGAAATTAAGCCTAAGTCAAATTGCAATTCAGGGAACACACGCGCCAATGAATCGGACCAGCGCCCAGCGCCCAGCTTGAGTCTTTGCTGCCATCAAATTTGGCGTATTTAATTAGAATTATATTTGTGAATACGGCCCTTTTCTGGGCATTTGATTTCGCTCACGCATTTCACAACAATTTGGCCAGCACGTGCTCCCATGCTGCTCGAATCGAACAAAAGTCACTGCGAGAGTCGTGTGGCTGTCATTTGAATTTTTAATGAGCGCTTATTAGGAGAAGAAAGCAAAGAAAAGAAAAGAACCATTCAGCAGACTAACCAAGCCCGTTTACTCTTGCATAAAGAGATATAGCCAATGTCCATTTGGCCTTTTCGCCATTTGCTCATTTGCCTATTTAATTTGTTATCTGGCTGGGCAAGGCTTAAAGTGCAGAGTCCATCAGCAGCAAGTGGCACACAGACACATACACACACACACACATTGAAAAGTCCATCATGCACACACAGTGAAGAACTTCAATGCGACCGCAATGGAAACTGAAGCGAAGCGTATTAAGCGACAACCGCATCTTTATGGTCAGCTATGGTCGGCCCGAGACCCGAAATAAAAGCTCTGTGCTCAAGTGATATAATGAAGCCGTAACCGGTCTGCAGTGCAACCACTGGGGCGTATGCGCAATTGCAGCACAGCCCCAGCCAAAGAGCCAAAGAGTTCATATACTATAGAGTTGGTTTATATGTTTACACTTTGGTTTTATTGCTTCGCCCATGCATCGTATGCTGCCGCATACGCTTATCTGTGGCATTCGTTCGCCTATTCCACTTGCCGATTATGAATTCATCAAAGACATTGAACATATAAATTCCTATATAAAGAGACGTTTGCATTTTAATTGCGACTCAAATCCAGTTGAACAGAGACGTCCAGTCGCAGACAGAAGCTGCTGCCGTAGACTACATTCGCATTTCTCAATTCAAGTTTAAGCAACGCTCAGAGGCCGACAGACCCAGACTCACTGAGTCAGTGCTAAACGACAGCGCGTCGCGTGTGGACGAGTTTCTGGTAGTCTGTGATTTATAAACGAAGCGCAAATTAAAAAATCAAAACAACAAAACGAGCAAAGAAGTAAAAAAAAAAAAAAAAAGTGTTCAGGTACAAATTGTATTAGGCAATCGAGCATTCTACATAATAAGCAGATGCTATGTACTGGACTTGAAGCATCGCCTGGCTTGGCCAAAGGCGAGCGCTAACCAGTTAGCGACGCACCTGTGCTATGAGCCCGGCTGGGCTGGGCAGCTTCAAGAATTCATCACATTCTCGACTGTCCGGCAGAACGCGCTGTGCATACAGAAACAGTCGAGTCTTTTGTTTTCTTGCCGGCCAACTCTGAGAGCTGAAGTGTTGCAAGCAAACCTCTCAGCCGCTCAGCTCGCAGAGGGCTCTGGGCTGTTTGGCAACACTGTTGGCCAAGCAAGAAATTAATTTTGTTTCACCTGTTTTTCAGCCGCAAAATGTTTGCGCTATTCGGAGCTGCTTTGCTGCTCTCGCTGCAAGCCACACTGGCCCCAGCTCAGGTAAGTTTACTGCCGCTTTTCTTCTTCTTTTTTTTTTCTTTTTTGCTTTGTTTTACAGCCAGCTAAAAACTAAGAACTAAGTCCAACTACCAACTCAAATTTCTTTGTTTGTACTTTCCCAAACACTTGCCATAACTATGCACTCATGTGTGCCGTTGCTGAACTTCGTGATTAAGCAAAGCTTAACCAAACTACAACAACAACAACAACAACAACTGCCACAAGAGCAGCAGCAGACCAAGCTGCCCTTGCCGCAAAGCCATTTAGTGCTTAATTCCTTTAGCACTGGTCCCCCACAAATATTTCAATTATTTCGCGAATGCAATGCATCCCATCAACTACCTCAAATTGTTTTATTTATCAACGACCTCAGCAAAGACTCGACCAGCGCAAATCAAACAAAATCGAACATAGCTAGTGAAAGGTTCATGCGGCAGGCGATTTCGCTAAAATAACCGCGGCAGTGTAAAGCTTTCCACGAATTCTCTAAGAATTAATTATATCAGTTTACGTAATTTCAAGAATTTTCTAAGTAGCATTGCATTCATTATTATCATAGCTAATAGAGGAAAGTAATATAGGGTATAACATAGCTATTTAGCATATAGATTATTATCTTTGCTAATTTCCACAAGTTGCTTTAAAGGTTTCTCATTTTAAATGAGTTTAAAATTATATGAATAAAAAAAGCTTAAAACTGACTTCTACGTTCACCTTTTCATCTAAAATTTGTGTTTTAAATGGAAAGGTGTAAGGTGATCGAGTATATAATATATATATACACTTTATGGGCTCTGCCACGCCTCCAGCTGTTGGTTATATACATTTCCATAGGGCAATTTAGCAACTAAAATCTCTTTAAATTCTCAATCGATCTTTGATAGAAATAAATGTATATTTGATAAAATGGCAAATATTAAGCTTTAATATGAATTATATTTGCTATATATAACAGCAACTGAAACCAGAATATATATTCATATATATGCAGAAGCCGTTTAAATGTTTGTTTAAAATTTATGACATACACAAATTTAATTAAATTCATTAAACTGCCAATTAGTCATACCCTCAAGGAGATAAGCTACATATACAATATAATGCCTTATAGGAAATTCCCATTAGGAATATCAAATGAAATAATTTAATACTCAATTTGGCTGGCTACGGCAATTCAACTTTCCACTTCGTAAGACTACAGATGCTTTGTCTCTCTCTCTCTCTCTCTCCCCCTCTCTCTCCCCCTCTCTCTCTCTCTCGGCTCTGCAGGTTATATCAAGTTATAAACGAATCAGGTCTAACCGAAAACCCAATGTTACAGCCAAGAAGAAATTATAATAACTAGTTTAAAATAATATGTTTGCATTAATTAAATTTATATATAGCCAAAGTAAGAATTAAGAAGTAACAAAGCAAAATTAGTTTATGAAATATAAATAAAAGTATATATAAAAAAAATTGTTTTTAAAATACATAATATATGAGTTTAATTCTGTATTAATTAGTTAGAATTTGCATATAGTAATAGAAATTAAAGAGAAAACAGCAATATATAAAGACATACAGACAGATATAAATAGAAATATGTAGCCAGATATAGACAAAGATATAAATACATATATAGTAGATACAGATAGAGATAGATATATGTAATAGAAATAGACATACGATAATAAGAGCCCCCTGCAGCTTAAAATCAAGTTAAAAACCTTTCACTACATAAAACCCTAAATTCTCGCATCGGGTGTCTGCATAAACTTCGTTCTGGCCAAAATCACAAATTGCTATTGCCAATGTGTGTTGCGAAATTTGCGCAAATGCTGGTGTTGATTTTATTTGCGGTTTGCTGCACAAACGGTCGAACACTTGATTTTGTGTGGGGCAGGTGAGGCCGGTGGGCAGGTGGGCTGACGAGGCAGCAGCTGGAGAGTGTCCGGCAGGCAACGTGAGCATTGGGCACATTAAATTGTTGCGCAATGCAACGGCTATTAACTGTGGCAATGAAGAACTTTAGTAGCTCATTCGGCAACTCGGCGACTCGGCGAGCTCAGGCATTTATAATTATAGTATGAGTGCGCCAAGGTACAAACAGGTAATTACCTTTGAGCAGCGGATAACCCATTAACCCATGTGCTTGACAGTGTGTGTGTGTGTCTGTGTGTGTGTGTGTATTTGTACTCCTTAGTCACGATTATATATCATTTTAATAACAGCATCTGCCTTGAACTTTCGACCGGCCTATGTGGCATCTGATACGCCGCCGCCCTTGCCGCCGCCACGAGCGCAAATGAAGCGTAATTTTTAGCTAATTACGCATACGCCGCATTGTGCAAGTGTGCCCGCAAATGCGACAAATATTTTCACTGCAATTTGCATGCAGCACAAGTGCGCGAGTGTGTGTGTGTGTGTGTGTGTGTTGGTATTTGTGTTGGCATTTGTGCTTGTGTTTGCCTGCATAGCAGCCATTTTGTCGCTTATGCTGTCAGTTCGGGGTGTTGGCCGCGTGTTGCCTGTCAGCCGCTGGCTCAGGTGGCAAGAGGCTCGCGTTGGCCATGTTTGCCTGCTGGGCGTCGCTCTGGCCGCCTTCTGCTGCTGCACTCCCTTTACAGTTACAGCTGTGGAGCAAAGTTTTTGGGTTGCGCTTGTCGTTTTAAAGGGCTTCGCCTTTTGGGCCAATTCGCGTACTTTTTGGCCGTCTTCGAAGATCTCGCCGGCGCGCCTTGGTTTATTTCTATTTGTTTACGGTTTCGGGTCGCTTGCGGGCAACTAGAGTTTAGATTTTAATCAACGCATGCATGAAATTTGCATTTGCCACTGCTAACCAAATTGTTGGGAGCTCGTGGGAATTGTACACAATTGAAATTGAAATTAAGGCTCGCGTAATGGCTCGGGCAAGGGTTACGAATTTTCTTCTTCTACTTTTTTTTTGTGGGTTATCATGCAAATTTTTCTAATGCTCTGCGGGCATACAAAAAACGAAAAAGTTTCGGACTGAATTAAAAGTTATTAAGCTTTAAAGACTTTCCACTGCAATCTGCAATCTGCAACATAAATTAGCCAAAGCCAGAGCCAGAGCCAGAGCCAAAGGCAGTGCCATTGTCTGCTGACTGTTGTTTATGCTTGGGGTCTAGATGCGGCTGTTGATGTTTATCAACAAATTATGGCAGTTGCCCCTAAATAGTGCAAATAAACACATTTGCAAGCAAGCTGACAATGGCATCTGAATTCGCTTCTATCAGCACAAAATTCTATGGATTCGTGCAAATATTTAACATGGCCAACAAAGCAAACAAACAGCCATTAATAATATTGCCAACATTTTGAACAAAGCGAATGTCCTTTTATTGCCATCACTTCAAATTCTAATCGCATTTCTCGAAACTTTCACAGACAATGAGTTTTTGAAATTATTGAAATGAAAACAAAAGTTTGGGCCACTTTTCAGGCATATTAGCCATTGATGTGAGCTCAATAATAAGAGACCAAGCATGAGTGATACTATTTGTTATAGCTATAGTTGGGCGATTGTTCAAGCTATCGATAAGTTTTAGTTGTTAAAATATTTGAAATATTTTTCCTATTTTTCTATTTTTCTGTCTGATATTCTAATTGATTATTGAATTTTATTAATCAGAATTTTATTTTAAACTGAAAGTATTACCAGATTTTATATTTTATATAAATTTCCATAGATATATATTTGAATCAGCATTAATACTATATTCATATCTCAGATAGTTTTAGTTTTATTACAGTTTCTTTTACTATAGCTCTTAATGGGTCAGCCAATAACAGGCCTGGCATTTCCGTTACTTAAAGCCTAGTTGCTTGCTGTTGTTGACTGTTTTTTATATCAACTAACTCTGAAACGTTGCTTTTATTTTACATTCCATTCATATCAATAATTAATCTATCCCACGTCTGACTCATTCAATTCATTTGCATTCGACTTAACTTTGCTTGTTTTTGTCAAGTATTTAATAGTGCACATGCCTCATATATAATGCAGGTTAGAATCTCTAATAGCAGATGCCAATTGTCAATTAAGACAAAACACCTATTGAGCGCCAGGTAACGTCAGGTAGGCTGTAACAGGTGCAAAAGCAATGCGTAAATTGAATGATGCGATTGCTGGCAACAACTACACATAAATTACTTCTTCGGCCTAAAGCCTCTTATGTGTCATATTGTACTTTAAGTGGGCGTACACCCGCCACCCAAAAAAAAAGTGGGCGTGGCGGCGTTAAATTGCATTTATCAAGCGCTTAAAGCGACTTATGCTGGCAAAACCAAACCGCTAAGCGGTTTGCTGTGCATATGTGTGTGTGTGTGTGTGTGGGAGTGTGTGGGTGTGTGGGTGTGTGGGTGTGTGGGTGTGTGGGTGTATGTGTGTATAAGTGGGTGGTTAAGTGTGCATTTGCATCTCATTACGAGTAGCTGCAACAGCAGCAACATTCGCAGCGCCTGCTCAGATGTCGCCCAATATTAAATTCCGAAGCTGCTCAAAAACTGAAACTCTGTGAAGTGTGTGGGTAGGTGTGTGAGAGTGTGTGTCTGTGTGTGTGTGTGTGTATGTGTGTGTGTGTTAACTTATAATGGAATTTTCACATTTTTCATGCTAATAAGCGCAACTCTCATGCTCTTAATTATGACATTATAATAACTTAGTTAGCTTTGCCGTCTGTCGAGCAGGAAGTTGCCAACATCGAATTCAAAGTTGAATCGCAACTTAATTAAGTTTCCTCGGCGATTGACTAGAAAGAAAGAAAGAGCAGACAAGAGAGTGAGAGAGAGAGGGGAAAACTTTGTTCAACTGAACAGCAAGTAAAGTTATCTCTAGCGACTAAGCGATAAGAATCACCTGCACTGCACGCCTAGCCCAAGGCGAGGCCGTAGATGACCAGCTGGAAGTGCGCCCTGGGCACCTGTTCGTAGCGCTGGAAACGCACAACGGCATGCTGTTGGCCCACGCCGCCGCTGAGCAAACGCACCTGGCCGCCGTTGCCCCCCGGCAAGGTCATGTCGTAGGCATGCACCGCCGTTATCGTATAGCCATCGACTGCGGTCGAGTTCTGTGCGAGAGGGATAAATGTCATGTTGTGCGCTTATTTCCATACACCTGTTTGTTGTTGTGCTACTACCTGTGCGCCGTATGCAACATCCTGAACATCCACATGGACAGCTGTGGCATCCGCATCCGCATCCGCATCCGCATTCGCATCCGTGCTGCTCACGTGCCCCAAGTAAACATCTTGTGCATGCAGCGTGCTGGCATATTTGTTGACATGCCCCCAGGTAGTTGTGGCGCCATCGCCGCGCTGCAGCAGCACCACCAGCAATAGGCTGATAAGCGTAGTTTTTGTTAACATAACGGTCGCATGTGGCACACACAAACACACGCACGCGCGTAAATTTTCGTACGGTCTGTGCAACGCGCAAGGTGTGAAACTCAAATGAGTCGCGGCCTAGTTAAATATTAACGCGCTGTCTACCTTCAAATGTCTTATCAGCTTGCAGGTGCTTTTATCACTTTCTCTCTCCGTCTCTCTGTCTCTGTCTCACACACACTTTCACGCTCTCACAGTCGCTCCCTTATCGCTCGCTCTGTCCAATGACATCCTCCACTCAGACTTGTTGTTGTCTTCTGCTTCGGCTCTCCATAATTACTCTATGTATTAATTGCTTCAATATGGGCAAAACACAATGTTCGAACTCTCTGCCCGCCGAGTCGCGACTGCCGCTTATCAGCTTATCATTCAAATTGATATAGATTTCAGCGTCAGCAGCGCCCGCACTTGCGTAAATTCTATTGAATAAGCTGAGCTAATAGGCCGACAATAGCAAACTGTGCAAATGTTGATATTCCCAAATATGTAATATGCTTACATTGTGAAACAAGACTGGAGTGTGCTACAGAATCAGCTGTGCTGGGAAGAGGGGAGGGCATGGGGAAAATTGAACAAGCTAAGACGTTAAAATTTGAAATTGTATAAAGAGTTTTGAGACTATGCAAACAGCAATCAAATATAATTAGTCGAAAATTACAATAAAACAAAAAAAAATAGTTGAATTTTATTAATTTATTATTATGAATAGCATGTTTAAAAAATTAAAAAAAAAAAATGCCAAATTAATAAATGATATGAAAGCATTATATGACAATTATAAAAAAAAAGTTAATTTTATTAAAAAATTAAAATTAAAAAAAAAAAACAGCTAAAAAAAATTGCCAAATAAATAAATGATATGAAAGCATTATAGGAAAATTAAAAAAAAAAGTTAATTTTATTAAAAAAAATAAAATAAAAATAAAAAATATGTATTTAATATATAATTAATTATATATCATTAATATTTATTTAATAAATATGAATATACATGTTTTTAAATATATAAATCAATATACAAAAATATTTAAAACGGATTTTAATAAAAATTAATTTGTAAGTTAAAAAGGGTAATAAATTTCGTCATTTATTTATACTTTAATTTGCAAAATATTCATATATATATATATATGCTTATCTGAAGGATTATTTCCAGTTAGAGTTTATACTTTTGGCAATAGCCTTTATCAATATTATTAATATATCATTTATATAATTTTAAAAATAAAAAAAGAACAAAAATACTTAAGTACAACAGGTTCATTATAGAAACCTGTTGTACTTGTTGTGGAATGAGCACACAATTAACACAAACATGTTTTGTCCAACTGCCAAATGTCAAGTGTTGAAAATTCACTGAGAATTGAGGCATACGAATATAAAGCCACCAGAATATAAATAAATCCAAAATAAAACATAAATCACACAGAATATAATGCGCAATACTTTCTGGACAGACCTCTTGCTAAGTTAGAAACTCCCTAACCTGCCTCGCTGTTCGGTTATCTCAATGATTTAGAAAACTTAAGCCTGCCAAACATTACTTAAAAACTAACTTTTCAAAATGTGGAATTAAAACACAAAGTGTGTTTCTGTTCAACACGTGTGCCGCTGCCAGGACTTGGGTAATTGAAATTTATGATTTAGGGTCAGGCCTGGTTGATGTTGCCCTCTGTCTGTATGAATGCAGCTAAGTCGGCCATTCAATCGAATTCCATTCGTATTTCGGTTTTATTAGAAAGTTGGCAAACTTAATTTAAATTGATTGACGCTTTTCGGGCGGCCGGAAATGCCATAGAGGTGAAACTTGTTGCCTACCTGTGCTGCCCACCTTTTGGCCAACATCTTTGGGTGTTTGGTCAAAGTTTCGTTTCGGCGCAAAACTTTTACTATTTGTGAAAAATTGCGTCGGCGTTGGCGTTGGCATTGGCATTGCCTTCTGGCCCAAAAGTTTTGCATGCCTAAACAAAGAGCGCAACTTTCAATAACATTAAGTATACGCAGCGTGTAACCAAGTTTGGCCAGCTGACTGCACCCAACTCATCGCACTCTCTAATCTGTAAGGTCTCTCATTTCTGTTGCAGCTGATTACGTTGCGCGATGGCAAGGTGGGCGTCAACTTTGCCGGCTTCCATGCCGATGCCGGACTGGGCGGCCTGCTGACGGGCAACGCAGCCCATGGCGGCCTCAGCGCCTCCGCGGGCACACCCTGGGGATCGCGTGCCGCAGCTGGCATTGGTGGCGGTCTCAACGGTATTTAACGCATTAATTGATTTTCATTTTGATTCCGAACTAAATAGATTATACCCATTCCCACACAGGTCGCACCGCTGGCGGTGCATATGCAGCGGCTCAGGCTAACGATGACGTCGGCGCCAGCGCGCTGCTTGGCGGCAGCGTGGGCGAGCATGGCTACATCGGCTCCGAGGCACACGCGAATGGCCGCAAGGCCAGCCACTCTGTCAACCTGGGCACCAAGCCGGTCTCCGCGGACTCAGAAACCGTTGAGGATGCGCCGCCAGTGATCCCAACCGCCGGCCCAACCACCTACGTGCAGAAGGTCAAGCCGCCCAAGAAGTATTCGCTGATTGCCCAGAATGTAAGTGAAACTTATTAAGATGTGAAATGCAGGCCCGTTGAGGTACCTCTAGGCGTCACTAGATAAGATTGCATCGCCTGGCAAATAATCTAGATGCGATAGCAGCCGACATTGTTGACTGCCAACTAAAGAGTGAAGTTTTGTTTATTTGCAATTCTTTATCTGTTATCGTTGCTATTTCTCTGGTAGATGTAACCAGCGACAAGCTTCTCAAAAGTGGGAAATATGACGCGTTGTGTCGCTGTGGTCATGTCTAACAGATGGACATGACCATATCAGCTCAGCTCGTTAGACTTCCTAGCTTTGACTCTGTCTGAGTGATCGCAGCGATCTCGTAAACCACAAAAGTCAAGGATTTTTAAATTAGTATTTACGAGATGAGATGATTTCTAAAAAAAAAAAAAAAAAAAATAAATAAATAAATAAATAAAAAAATAATAATAATAATAAAAATTAATAAACATTAGGCCACAAATATTAAAGTCTAGAAATTTAGAATTTCCTTTAGAATACCATTCTGTATTGCTTATATCAATAATCTGGTATAGCTTTATACGCTTTGCTTGAATATAACAATGGCTGGAGATATGCAATTAGCTGAGGTTATTCCTGTCTTGATTACATAAATATAATATATTTCTGATAATGGATACCTCCCACGCTTTCCTCTTATTATGTATATATATAGAGGCTCAGCAAATACGGTTATATGAATATTTTAATCAAGCTCTGAAAGGTATTGAAGTTTCCATAGCCCATAAGCGCAGCCCCACCGCAGTCGTAGATCAGAATGCCTTCTCATGTATGTGAGCATCTCTCATCTCTCACCAAAGAAATCTGAGAACAAGGAATCTTTCAGCCGTTCACTCCCCAATAGAGACTGATAACAAAAGAGAAGCATTTTAGGCATTGTGCAAGACATCTCTAGGCAAACGTCAAGCAATTCATATTGAATATGTATATGAGTGGGAGTAATAATTCAATATCTATAGAAAATATTTCCTCATTAACATATTGAACATTGAAAAATGCCATCTGACTAAGGTTAGGTCTACATAGAAGCCGCTCATTAAGTGTTTAACTCTGTGTAATATATTATTTACGTCCAACCACATATGTATTTATGTGTATATATATATGTGTGTGCGCACATGTTATCATGGTGTTGTGTTTGTGTTTTCAACCCGCTCATCATTTATCCATGTTAGTCCGACCACATCGCGCCCAATCAAATCAATGAAAATCATGCTGAAACGGCCGCAGCGCCGGCCACAGAGCAAGCGCCCAGCCCAGTGATAATTGTCAAGCGGCCACGCCTACACGTCAAGCGTCTACGCCAACGCCAACGCAACGTATACATAACGCAGGCGGCACAGCAGCCGCAGCAGCAGGAGGAGCAGCAGCAGCAGGAGAAGGAGGAGCAGGAAACTGTCGCTGAACCGGCGAAGGTAACAGGCAAACAAACAACTGGGCAGCTGTGTGTGGAAAAGGATATGCACACAGATACACCCGCACATGCTCACACGCCCACACACGTTCACACGGCCACACACACACCCACACACACACAGGGTGTGCACTGTCCAAATGTTGGCAGCAACAGCTTTTGGCTTTTGGCTGCAACTTTCGCTTTGGGGTCAAAATATTTGACCAACGTTTGCTGTAAAATTATTTAAATTGTGGTTTATTTTGGGCCGGCGCATTGCCAACTTGTTGGAAACATTTTCAATAATTTTTGTTGTATTATTTCTCTTCTTATTTTGTATATTTTTGTTTGCATGAATTTTCATTACGTTCTCGGTGGCAGCTAAATATAACTTTTGCATTTGTTAAGCTTTCGGTTGGCGCATTGTTTGCGTTTGTTCGTTTTTGTCTGCCATTTGTTATTGTTAAATTTCTGCAGCCATTTGATCGTTTTCTCTCGCCCACAAACAGACGCAGTCGTCGCCCAAAAGTGAAGCCAAGGCGGTCCACAAATCCGCAAAGGGCCCTCGCCAAGGAACGCAGGGCATCAGACATCACGTCGTATCACCGCAGGCTCAAGGAGTCGTTGGCCAGGCACTCGACGTGAGTCATCCAAGGCATCAGCCGATGAGACTTAATTGTCTGACCCATGTATAACGCCTCTCCCTCTCTCTCTCTCTCACACACACACAGATTCCCATTGGCATATTGCGCTCCCTGCAGATGAGCCTGGGCGGCTTGGTTGGCGGACACGCAGCAGCTGCCCAGCCCAATGATCAACCACAGCTGGGCTGAGTGAACGTGTTGAACAGAATATATTAAGAACAGCAAAATGTCGTACAGTCAATAAAGCTAATTAAACGATATAAATAAGTGAACTAGCTTATTTTATATGTAGAGAGGGCTGTGATACGGGAAATCACTTGTGAATGTTTCCATTGTCAGCTAATTACGTGTTTGCATACTGATGCAAATTTCTATGTCACGAATGCCTTAAAGCTATAAGAAGTTTCCGCCATCTGTTCACAGACTTCTGGCATACATACATAATATTGTCTATGCGCGTCTTATAAGGTGTTAATTGGGTTAGGAAATGTTAGCTGCTGCATAGATATTTATAACTATTTCTTACAGCCTAGATATATTTATTTATTTAAATATTTACTTTTATTTGCCAACCTAAACTAAAGAGTATTGGAATTATATAGTTGTATATAGACTCTTTGCACAGGAGCCTTCATGGCAGTCTAAGAGGCAGATGCACCTCCTTCAACAGGTGAGTCTTTATAGATTGTAAAATATAGATCATACAGGTATATTTATTGTGCCTAGCAGCTGGCTCTCACCAATATGATTGAAGAGTCCGGCAACAGACAGAATATGCATGTAAAAGAAAAAATTTATAAGCACAGTTATAAATTTCTGTTGATCCTTTACTTTGTTTGTGAAATCAACCGAATCATCCTCACTCACTCTCTCTCTCTCGATTTGATTTTTGTTTGAGTGCTTTCGTGTCACGAACATAGTTTAGGGCGCGATACGATTGATGTTCGTCTAATGAGAGTTACTAAATGAACAAATACTCATGCAGTCAATGAATCATATTTTCTGCCTATGCTTGAAAGATTCGCCTTGAGAACGAAGAAGCAGCTAAAGAGCATTTAAAATGTAGCTATGCTCTAATAACAAAGCTAATCTATTATTAGAGGTAGCTTCAGTATCTGTGCACCACATATATTATCTGAAATTTAAAAATTATTGTTGCTGTTGAGCTCGACTGCAGCTCTTATCTTTGCTTTTTTTGCTCTCTGCCGGCTGCTATGCAGTCTCTCAATTTACATCACTAGACTACACCCAAGAGCTGCTAACAATATCAAATTATTTACTTTGCTTTACCTAACCCTAACTCTTGAGTGAACTTTGTTTTGAGTATTTAATTTAAAAAACCTCTTTTTGCTCATACAAAGTTTTGCTCTTGCACGCATAGTTCGAGCTTAAAGTTGGCACTGAGCGACGCCGAGTGATATGTGGGAGAGCATTGAGGAATTTACGACCAAGCTCTCGAGTGTTGAGAGATTAGTAAAACACTTCAGCCCCTTGCTCTATGGCAATATATGTAATTTATTTATTTTATTTATTGTTTATCAGTTTCATAGACAGGCAAGCACTAAACTCATCGGGGTGCAGATCTCACTCGTATACACTGTGGGTGCTTCTATGTCTGTCTCGCTCTTACTCTCACTCTTTCGGCTTCATATGGCATACGGTGTAAATCGATAAGGATTATCATAGTTGTTAAGTGATAAATGCAACAAAATATATATTTTAAAATTTTTTAAATTATAATTTTTCAACCAAGCTAAGTTATTATTTTATATAAGCCTATTAAAGGGCAACAATTTTGCTGGCATAGCAAAATATTTCGAGGAAACAAACTGTTGTATGATTAATAGCAAAAGGTCTGAGTAAGGCAAATAAAATAATTATTATCGCATTAAATATATAAAGTCAATTCATATAAATAAATCTAAGTAAATCTAAATATAAACGTTTATTAAATATCTATCAAATGCATATTAAAAATTATAATAAATAATTGTCGTTGTCAACCTTTAATTAATTCACAAAAATTACTATTTCAGTTCAGTTTCGTGCGTCCTCAGCTGCACAATGCATTAGCCACTTGGTTATAACTTAATAAATAACCCACTCGAATTAGAATTTGCATGAATAAATCGAAACACCGAGTGTTTGCGCAATTTATGAGAGGTTGTCTCTGGCTGCGGCGCCTTTAATTTAATTTCGTTTAAGATGAGCCATTTTATTTGTATTTCAGTTTTAGTTTCAGTTTCAGTTTCGGTTGGATGTGTTGAAAGGGTTCCAGCACAAAGTCAAAAACCACAGCAGTAACGACAACAGCAACAACAACAACAACAACAACAACACGAGCAATTCATTGAATAGTTTCGTCTCTTGTCCAAGTTGAGCAAGCTTTGGCTTTGGCCCTGGGGCACATGCAGATCTACAAATGGGTTAGAGGAGTCCACAAAAAAGAAATAGTATAAAAAAAAAAAGTACAGAGAAGAAGAAGAGAAACCCGTATTGGCACGAACAATGTGCTCGAAATTCAAGTTTAAAGCAGGAAATGCCACAGCGTCGGACTTGTTTATTTAGGAGCTGCTGGCCAGACCCTCAGACAAGATACGGCGGGGCACAAAAACGCACACACACACACACCCAGAGGCGCCATGTGTGTATGTGTGTGTAGGATGTGGCAGAGCAAAATATTTCACACTCTGCAACCACAGGCACTTGTGCGGCGCACTGCAAGGGGACAAGGGGGTGGGTAACGCTCCACACATGTCTGAATGCCTAACACATATACAAAAGTACACACACAGACACAGACACATGCACACACACACACACACACACACGTACACTCATGTAGTGTATTGTATAAATATGCTTAAACACCTCGGGCTTTTATGCTTTTAACCCTTTGCCGCATAAAGTCGCCACTATATAAGTGTGAATGTGTGTGTAGCTGTGTGTGTGTGTGTGTGTATGGGTGTGCGTAAGCCTGCTTCAGTTAGCTGGCAACAAAATGAATGTCCATGCAGCGGCGCTTTGTGGCTGTTCTGTGAATTTCTTAATTAATATTGCGCACGCAATTTATTGACATTTAGCGAACTCCAAATTTTGTTCCAGCTGGCAATGATGGCCAGGTCGCTCGTCTAGCCTTGCCCTGCCCTGCTCTGCCCTGCCCTGTCCTGCCCATCCTAGCCCCGGGACAGCGCTTGAATTCGCCGAAATGACTTGCATATCAAAACATGGACAAATATAGATGAAACAATATCAGCATAAGCAAACAATGACAAAGGGAATCACATGCCACATAGATATGTTGGTTTGAGCTTCAAGCTTTGGGAAATAGCCGAATCTATGAATATACCCTTTCAGTAATTTTGCAAAGCTTGAACGTTAGAGAAATATATGCATATGATATCTTTGTAATATATATGATTATTATGAGAATCATTATTATACATTTTTTATATTTTCTGTGGAATAATCATATACAAAATATATGTATATATATGATTATTATGATGATCATTATTAAAATTTTGTTGTATATTCAGTAAAAGTTCAGCAGGAGCTGAAGGTTAGGGGAGTATCAAGGGGAGAACAAGCCAGCAGTCGATAGTGATGATTTGTAGATGGAATAAAAAATCAAAGCATATAATAAAAATCTTTGTCTACAAACTTTCCAGGCCAGTTGGCTAAATATATATATTTACAGTGATGCTACAAAATTTTAAAGGTAACAAACAATAAATATATATTTTTATAATTCAATAAGCTATCTCTCCAGAGCTATGCAACGATTCCCTCTTCAGGGAACTTGCTCTTGAGATCCTCCACAGGAATAAGTCACTCGGAGTCAGTTCCAGAGAATAAGGCGAATGTTCAAGCATTTCGAAACCTAAATCAAAGCATCATTTTCATTGATATGCAAAGGTTAAAATGATTGAGAGGTCAAGAGGTCCGATTGCATTTTGAAAGGTTATTCTCGTTTAAATTGAAGCACTTCTCATCTTTTTTTACTAACAAAATTTATACAAAACTTAAAAAAAAAGGAAAATGTGAAAAGAAATTTCTAAAGCATCTGAAGCAAACTTTTACTAAGCTCTGAATTTAGTTTTGTTGAAAATTCAAATAAAAGTGAGTTTTAAATGTATTATTTATCAGGTAGACAGAATCTTTATTTAAATAGTTAAGATAACTAAAAATAAATTAAACACAATAAATGTAAAAATACGAATTTTGTAAATATAAGTTAGATATTTAAAAAAATATTTAAACTAAACTTTGAATATGAATTTTTTTTTTAATTATGCAACATAAATAAATAAATTAATTTGAATGATATATAAGAAAATAAAGTGTTCATATTTGATTTTCATATATATACATTTTATATTTTTGTCTGTTTTCAAATTTCAAGAAGAATCCATCTATGTTTTCATATGTGAACATGCATGAAATCAACATAAATATTAAATCGAAAACGAAATCCAAATACAGCAGCCAACCAGATGACAAGTTTATCTAGGATACATAATAGCTATGTATATATGTACGTGTATGTATGATTGGGTATAGGTATGTGTATATGTGAAAGAGTAGTTATGTATTCAGTGCATTCACATCATATTGAGCTTGAGTCAACACATAATTGTTTGGCTCAGTGGGCTTTAGGGGCAAGCGGGCTAACAGCGGGCTAACAGCGGGTCGCAGAATTCACAATTTGTAGGTCGTTCGCAGGCGGCGCATTAAATTTTACGCACGTGCCCCACAAATTATATTTGCCGTACAGTTGTATGTGTGTATTTGTGTGTGTGTGTGTGTGTGTGGTCCAATATGTATATGTACATATATATAAGCAATTTCTAATTTAGAAAATAAATAGCCAGTTGAAAATTGAAAAGGTTTTTTTTGTTTTTGGCTTTGTTTCGTTGAAGAATTTCTCTTTTTTTCGCTGTTTCCTTTATTCATACGTGCTGTGGGCGCTGAGCAAATTTTTTGAAAAGAAATAAAGCAAAGGCACAGTGCGAGTTATATGTATGCCAGAACCTACACACCCACACACACACACGCAAGCATACGCACACACAGTGCGCTGAAAGGTAGGCAACAGAATCTGCTTTGTGCCACATGACGTATGCGTGATGCGCTGTTCCAGCTTGTAGAGTGCAAGGCAACACAAGCATGCACAATGCGAAAATCCGATTAACAATGCATTTCAGATACAATTGTGGCAACATTTAGTAAGCAACTAGAGGCCCAGCGCTTAGTTGGAGTTACTT